GGGAAAGCGTGTTTATTGAGAGCGATTTGCGAGATTCAGGGCCACCCTTTGAACAACTTCGGTCTGATCGGCGAAATGCTGAAACTGTTTCTCACATAAGTCATCTAAAAAAAACAATCAAACAAAATTTTTTCACATTTTTTCATAAAAAAAAAAAAAAAAAAAAAAAAAAAGTAAAACTCCGAATTATATATTTTCAGTGCTAGCCGATCGCCTTTCGCGAATCTTCTTAAGGAATACGTCGAGGCTGAAAACCGCGGAAAATTTCACGGCGAATGCTGGCCCTACTTCAAGGATTGTCCGAAATCCTTATTTCTGCCTTCCACTAACAAATATGAGTTAGTAACATTACTTTTATAATTCGCAAACAGCGACCTGTTGATTGTCACATACATAGAACGATTAAATATTAATTTTATATATCATTAATTAATAGTTAAAAAAACAGACATTTTTTATAAACTTAAATATTAGTTTTTTGTTTATGGGCAAATAAAATCTATTATATTTGTTTTCTTAGAGAAAACTCGGTGCATGATGAGGAGAGGGAGAAGGAGGACGAAAATTGGAATCAAATCTCGAGTGACCTGGAAGAAGATCCTCTCACGAGGATATCGCAGAATATGAAGGATACCATACATCCTATGTAATTTTATAGTTGCGCAATTTATGGTTTATACCATGGACTCTGATACTACGTATATTATGTCTCATTAATTTCGAAGATGAGAAACCGCCAAAAGTTTGGCTAGTCGTCAGCATTTTTTTTTTTTTAATGTTAACACTTGACAAGTGTTATAAAATATTTTAAAATAATAACATTTATTTGTACAGTGTTAATATTAGGTTGTAAATTAAGTTCTGCTTCAATCAAAAGTTTCACGTTTGTCACTTCATTACTTACATTAAGTCCGACGGCTTAAGTCATAAGAAACTTTATATTGTCAGAGAGATAACCAGAGAGATAGAAGAACTCTATCTCCTTCGTTTACTAGCATATATGTGACGGGATATCAAATCAGCACAATAGGAGAGTGTGAATCTTTAACGAGAAATATTTTGAGCCAATAGCGCAAGGTGAACATAATTCAAAACACGAGGAGTAAGAATTTTTCATTATCAGTTCTTCGACTAAAACGTAAACTATTGATCATATCAGACAGAAGAATGTTAAATAAGTCAACTAACAAAATCAGTGAGACAATATTATGGTAATGAAAATTTCTTAAAGTAGTAAAAAGAGAGTGTGTGTGTGTATGATCCTAATTTCATTACTTCAGTCTCATCTCTTTTCATTTTTTTCTGCAAACACTGTTAGATTACCAATTGTTTCGGTCGATGCAGCGAATAACACTTTATCATTTTTTTTTTAATTAAAAAGTAGATTTTGCATTATTTGATACTGATAATCGTTTTTAACGAAAACTTTAGTTTATATCCTGATATTTTAAGCAATTTAGTCATTTAACTGCGTGCGATGCGATTCGTACGTTTAGAATAAACGCGTGATAATCATGCTTGTGTGATTTTATATAGAAATAAGAAATTATAAACTATTTGTTATATTTTACTTTATACATATATATATATATATATATACTTCACGAGTTACTTGTATATATTGTTGCTAATAATCAAACTTTTATTCGAATTATTGTTAATAATCTTAGTGTACTTTTGCGTATATATATATAATTATTTATATATAATTTATTTAATACATATAATTATAATTTAACTTTAATTTTAGAATGTGTGCGGCCGTGTGTACAGGCTCTAAATTTTAATTCTACTTTCTTGCATGAAAGTTCGAATTTAGCATTGATTTTTTATATGTGTATAGTGTCCGATCGGAATTAGTTTTTACAACCAAAACCGAAATCGAAACCGAATTTCGGTTTCTGTCTCAGTTTCGGCCGAAACCGAAACCGAAACCGAAACTTCCTTTTATGATAATCCCTTATTAGATTTTTTTACTTTGAGCCTGTTAATTTTAGCTAGCTGCAGGTGCGTATGTGTTAAAAAAAACCCTTATTCGATAAACGAATAGTTTTATTGCTCTTAGAAAATCAACAAAAAAAAGTATCGCAAACTTTCTTCTGTATGTGGAGTGAGATGTGTACTTCACGCAGACAAAAAGTCATTGATCAATGCAGTCTTTATTATCAATATCAGTACTGTATTAATATCACACAATTATTATTACAGTCTCTTTGACAGTCAAAGTTTTAGTTATAAAAATAAATTAAAACTTGAGTTTGTAACAAAAACTATCAACATGTCAAGTACCTATTATTAATTCAAAGGCATATAATTAAGCATTATCATAATAATAATTATGAAGTTGCCAACAAAAGATAGTTAAAAAAAAACTTTGTACTTAACAAGATTAAGTAAACAAAAACAAACTTTTGCTTTTATCTAAAAAACGAAATAACTTCTATCTAACCTTTGGTTATTATTTAGCGCGACAAGTCGACAACTCACGAACGCGAACGAAATTTCGGTTTCGGTAGTAGTTTCGGCCGGTTTGTTGCCAAAACCGAAACTAAAAAATCGAAACTCCAATTTTGCGCCGAAACCGAAACCGAACCTTCGGTCGGACACTATATATGTATATGTATACATATTTATATATAAAAGATATTGCGTCTTTTTTTTGTTTTATTAAAAGAATATTGTGTGTCAACAATTCTGAAAAACATGCTGCCATAATAAATATAGTGAAGTATTATTTTTATTTTTTATGTCACAATACCACGATTTATTCCGCTTTTTAAATTAGTTATCAAATATACGTGTGAGTAAAACATATTATTTATAAAATATTACACATAAAAAGAGAAAAAAAGATGAGGAGTGAATAAAAAATGATACAATTTTTGATACTTGCCCGCCTCTTTTCACATATATTAAAACTAAGTTAGTCTTGTGTTAGTTTAACTAACACACACAAGTTATCCTACCGCGTCTCTTGTTCCACAACGCAACAAACTTGCTCATGGGCTGCGTTCGGGGTGCACGCTATCAGCGCTATTGCATTATTCTATCTTCGTTTTACATCTAATGAGCAATAAAGATAGAATGATGCAACATCGCTGATAGCGCACTCCCCGAACGCAGCCATGATGTCGCTAGTTCTACTAGTTAAGGTTAGGTTAGGTTAGTTAGGTTATACCACACACACGCACACACTCTAGTGTGATTGGTGGAGGCAAAACTGGAGGCATAGAAAGGGTGTACAAAAGAGTGTACTATATCGTCCCACGCGAGGGGAAGTATTTTTCCTTCGGCAGTCCCTATTACCACACGCCATTTTCCACTAGAAACCTGAGATCCAATCTATATACCGACGCAATCGATAATCATTTTGATAAAACTTTATTACTTAATTATATTAATTTGATTCTTGAGTAAGACAAAAATAAAAACATCTTTTGTAACATCTCGAGTGACGTGTAAAGGGTTATCCTCGGGTTTTAAGTGATTAGGCCAGAAAGAACCAAATTGCAGGATGTTGTGCAAGAAATTAGAGACGTGTATAATCTAGACGTTTCGACTTCTTTTATTGAGTCATTTTGAGTAGTTAATTAACCTTTTCGCTCCGGGGATTTTTCCTTTAAAATTGACCTCGCATTTTAGCCGAAAAAGTTAATAATAACCTGCTACCCCCCCCTTCAAAGTTAATTTTGAAGGTCAAAAAAGTAACCAAGATTTTTTTCAATTTTTTTCCTAAATTTAGTGCATTAAATTGACCTTATAAACATCTATTACGTTCGCTTTTCTTGTTGGTCCATATATGGACCAGTCCCGGAGCGAAAAGGTTAAAAGATTAAATCGTTATATATTATATTTTTGAGAGGCACAGTTGTGTGTCTGACTGTGAAAAGAATCACAAAAACAGAATTTATATATTTTTTGTAATATTCATAATTACAAGTAAACACAAAGTAACAATAAAACGTATAACATTAATGTTATAATTTTCTACTCAACAATGTAACTGCTACGTAGGTACATGTTCCCTAATAGACACATTTGTGAAAATATTGCACAAAAAGGGCATCGTGAATGGCGACGATTTTTTGCAATGATTGCACTAAGATGATTCGCCATAAACGCAACAGTTTTGTCGAAATAAAAAATTTTGTAAATAATATTTGTCAAAAATTGCGAAAAAGTCGTTATGCATTTTCACAGTATATACCTCCAATAGGCAAATTGTGAAAATATTGCACAAATATGACATGAGTGACGACGATTTCTTGCATTTTTTTCATATGCAATCGTATTTCTACATATTTTTTAAACATCACATAGCTGAAATTTGTTTCTCAATTATTGAACAATTTTTTTTTTAATTTAATTTTGCAAATATACTGCTAAGATGATTCGCCATATCGTGTTATTCTTTTGCCGAAATAGGATTTGGAAAGTAATTTTGCAAACAACTACAAATATTTCAGAAAAGATCAATGTTTTTACATCTATTTCCTAAAATTATTCTGTATAATTGCAAATTACAATTTTAGTGCAAGATTTCGTCACATAATTTTGTAAATGGTTTCCCTATCAGGAAGAGCTGTGCTCTTCCGACGAGCTAACTCGGATGCTTCGACCAAAAGAACAGATTGACTATTTTGTTATAGTCTAATAAATAAATCTTATTTTGAATTTAAAAAACTGTTTAAAATCAAAAAAACTTAGTTTTTACTTAAAAAACTTCAGCGTTTAGAAATGTAAAAAAAAAACGGTTTTTATGATGATCAATTAAGCGTTTAAATTTAATAAAATGCAATAGCATAGGGGTAAACAGTACAGTTATTGGCCTCCCAACAGTAATTGGCCATGTATTAAAGAATTAATAAATACTACTATTATATTCTAAATTATAAACATTTTAATATTAATTAAGTTCTTCTGCTCCGAATAAAAGTAATATTATAGTATTTAAAAAGCTCAAAAACTCTTATTGTTATACGACAAACATTGGCCAACCGGCCAATCACTGTTTTTAAGGTTATAAAAACCATGTGACAGTCATTGGCCTCTTATTTTGAGTTATAGATACAAATGTAAGTAGGTTTATTAGTTTTTAATGTGTTATAAATAAAATATTCATTATACTATATCTTCATAAGTCAAAACAAAAAATTTATTATGTTAACTTTTATGTAAACAGATACTATAACATAACTCATATGGCCAATAACTGTCTATTTTGACTATAGGAAATATTTTATCAAATTTTGAATACTTTTTCAAATTTTCTAATAAATTTATTATTTTATTTGCAATTGTTATATAGTTTGTTTGAGCTAGTAATACTGAAGATTTACTTTAAGTTATTAAATTTAATTTTATAATTCACTCTATATAGTGCAGTTTTCCTTAAGTGGCCAATCACTGTATCTCTTACCTCTAATTTGTTTATGAAAACTGCAACCTTCATAAAAAATACAGTGAGACATAAACAATCCTGGTTTGCGGATAGAAGATGCCAAAAAAAAAAAACCCGGTTTGCGGTTTGAGGGTTAACTAGGTATCGGGTCGAGATTTATCCTACAAGGATAACGAGAAAGAGTAAAAGATAACGATATTGCATCTCTTACCAATTGGTGGCGCTTTTGATGTCCGCGATCGTTCAACATCGGCCATACTGTCTCTAAACCGATAACACAACATCACAGTGATATCGATTTAAAAGGTTACGCTCTCGCTATTATGTCGCCTTCACGACGTGCGTGTAGCAATGATTATCTTCTAAATTTATGTAGGATACCTGTAATATTCTTTTTATATTCCCGCAGTTTCGTTAACTGACAGTGCACGCGAAACCGTTTTCAGGGCGACAAAGGGGCGGCACCATCAAAACATCCAGAGAAATGGCTTGTGAAGCATGTAGTGCTAAGTTCACCTTGTTCAAGAGAAAAGTAAGTGCGAATCAAGTGTGAAAATATAAACACACATATTCTCGGCGTTTCCGTAGTATATCTTTGACGATCTGTCGCAGAGCAATACTGTTAATAATTCAAGAATTTCTTGTTGAATTGAACGCGTGTCACTTGGATGATGACAAAATTTTCAATGACAACAAATCCTCTTTTTGTATAAACGTTAGCAAAATGGTATCTCTCTGACGTTTTGTATACTTATAAATAATTTAATAACAATAGAAATTATTAACTTTAATAATAACAGAAATAGTAACTTTATCAAATTATGTTGCAACTTTAAAAAATTTATAAATTTAAAAAATGACATGAAATTGTGCAAAAAAGATTATTTTGTTCTTGAAAATTATATTGTGATTTTTGTTACTAGTTTTTAAAAACAAACATTTGTGCTACATGAATTTTTTTACATTCCTCATATAATTTTTAGAAACAATGTATGGACTGCTTGAGGTACTTTTGCTCGGAATGTGTGATCAAACGACTGGATAAAGTATTTACATGCGATAGTTGTGGTTTGTTATCAAGGAGACCACTTGTGAAGAATCAGATCAGACAAATGCGTTCCAAAGACTTACGTCAGTATCTTGTGGCAAAGAAAGTTTCTGTCAAAGGATGTGTTGGTATGTATCATTAGATATCACTTTTTGACAGTTTTTTTTTTTTTCAGCTTTATGATATGCTTCTTAATAAATACCAAGCTCAATTAAAAATTCTGTAATTTTTTGTATTAATATAGAATAAACTGTATTTACCTGTGACTTACAGTTTGTGGTTAATATTTATAACCGCGTATCTAATTTCAGAGAAAGAGGACTTGGTACATTTACTAATGCTGTTTGCTAATGGGAGTGATCCCTGCTTAAATAACGAAAGTACAAGTACCAGGACACAAACAGCCGCCCAAGAACCTGTGTACGTCACATTTTAAGTAGCAGTGTGTACACTGATACTTGTGTGTGTGTATATATCTGTGATAATGTTGTGAATATTTTTGTCGAATATTTTTTTTTTTAGCTTTAGATTTGACCGCTTTGCCATTTTTCACACTTCTTTGCAGAAAAAAAAAAACAATTGTTTTAAATATTTATAAAGTCTCTGTAAAAGTAAAAATTTCATGTGTACAACATGTGTAATAGAAATAATATCGCGAAACAATTCATGACGATTTAATTCTAGAGTCGATCTCTCTATAAACAGATCAGAAAGTATGCCAAATGTCAGTACCTCAAACAGTGAACAGTCTGGAGATGCGTACGAAGAATCGCAACCCGCAAGAAGCGAAGACATTGAAATGGACGAGGGAGAAAGAATAATTGAAAGTAATGATAATAGTCCGCTCCTTAGTTTTCCACTTAGTAGTGACAACGAAACACCGGAGGAGGAGAGGTCAATAAGAAGAGATAGTGTGGAAATAATAGAAGTTACAGAGACCGATAATGATCCGGTCGTTCCTGAGGCATCGAGTGCACCAGACAATGCACCAGAGCCAATAATTGCGGAGCAGGAAGAAGTTTCTGAAGCATCTAGTGAGAACAAATCGAATATACGAATTACAGAAATTCTCACGGTACGTATAACATGATAAATGTTTCACGTATAAAAAAATGTGTGTAAATAAAATTTATACAAAGTATGTTTATATATATTTAATTTTTTTTTTGTTTTCATTCTTGCGCAGTCCGATAAAGTACAATTATCAGATATAAAAGAAACGTCAGAATTAGAATATTTAAATGTTAAACAATTAAAGAATCTATTAAGTACAAATCGCGTAGATTACAAAGGTTGCATAGAAAGACAAGAATTATTGAATAAAGTGACCAGATTGTGGAACGAGTACAATCAATCTAGAAAAGGTATATAACGTAACTAAATGTGCTATATAATTGTCCGTATATGTTTATTAATTTTCAATAACTATTGTTCTTTATATAACAAGAGAGATGTGATATATTATTACAGAGGTAGAAAATCTGAGCGAGGAAGAACTTTGCAAAATCTGTTGGGACGCACCGATCGAGTGTGTCATTTTGGAGTGTGGTCACATGGCTTGTTGCATCAACTGTGGCAAGCAAATGTCCGAGTGTCCGATATGCAAGCAGTACGTCGTCCGTGTTGTAAGATTCTTTAAAGCTTGATGAGGCAACGACTTGATTATTATTTGTAACGAACTAATCGTTAAAAAAAAAAAAAAAAAAAAACTTTTAAACGTATTTCTTTTTGTTGCAAAAAATAATGTGTTTAAACATTTTTCATTTTTCTGTTACGTTGAAATGTTTGATCCATTATTTCTGAGAAATTGCTAATCTCTCAGAAAAACTCAGTCAGTTTGTCGTCTTATTGTTGATAATTTGCTTCTGTCTAATACATTAATACGATGATCGTGAAAATAAAAATTGTCAAGTTACGCGCGCTCTCAATTGTTCAAACATAATGCAACTTTTACGCATTAAAATATTTGCAATGTATCGCGATGATGACGTTGCATAAAATTAGCACGGGACTACACGTGCGTTTATATTTATAGCTAAAAGCAGAATTGATTCACGATAAAAAAAAAAAAAAAAAAACATCAAACCATTTGTGCAATAAATTACGTGAACAATGAGCAACTTTATGTAAAGCTTTGTGTATTTTGTGTAAAATATGAGCGACTCTTACGTACGGACAGTTCCTTAAATAGATAGAAACTAGCCGATTGGGCTATGAGCCGGAGCTTTCGCCATTAAAAATTTCCTTTTTGTTTTTTTTTTAGACAAAAACTATTTAACAAATAAATGTCTATATCTTATACTGATTAACTTAATTATATGTATATCGCGATATATCTCCGAAACCTTTTAAAAGAGAACATAAAGTTTTTATTTTATGAATATGCGTATTTTTCTAACATGCTCCCAACTTTTTCCTCTCTCTCTCTCTCTCTCTCTCTCTCTCTCTCTCTCTTTCTACACATATATATATAATTCTTAGAAATTTTTATAAATTCTGTATCAATATACGCGGTGTATATTTTTTATAAGAATAAATAAATGTATTCTGATTAAAAAATATTGCGTTTGATTGTAAAATATTGCTTGGGGATTTTAGTTTTTCGTTATTTAATATAATTTTCGGTTTAAAATTGCGCGACGTGACAAAGAACGAAATTTTAAAATAATCTGCGAAACATCCGATACACGTGATACGCGATTGTGCGTTGTTGCAGTTATCGCGCTGACACACTTGAAAAACAGTCATCGCGTTTTATTCGATAAGTTCGGCTTGTGATCGCATAGACGTAACCTTCTCTTCAATCATTTGCGAGAATATCTAATAAATCTTATGTCATATATAAAATATCATGTTTTTCGATAGAAATTATTTAATGCGTGTTAATTTTAAAAAGTAATAATATTAATCAATCAATAGAACTTTTTACATTACACAATAATTTCCATAAATTTATTAATAATCGCGCTTATTAATTAACGCATACGCGTTATTTTGAAATAATTGGGAGTTCTTCACCTTACTTATTAATAAACATAATTGTAACTCGTTAAATAGAGAAGAGTATATTTATTAAATATGTTATATAACTGTTGCGAGATACATTTATATGACATATGATGCAAGATTGTATTTTGGGTACTATATTTGAAAAAAATATTCCGATCCTGTGTTGCAATACAGGGTGATCCAGAACAACCCGTTATCCTTGAAAATACATATTCTCGACTAAATTCTAAGACAACTTTTTATTTGGCAAAATTTTGTCTCAAGCTTACTTTTTGAGTTATTAATCAAAATAGTTGACTTACCACAAGTCGGATGCAAGAGGTAGGCAGGGACGGCGCAACTCACTCAGAGACGCGGGCGATTACGTGTGGTGCCTGACGCGATCAGCTGATCGCTACGCATTTTGTTTCTGTATCTTTTTCTGTCTCTCTCTCTCTCTCTCTTTTTTCTCTTACTTAATTTATTTACTCATTCGCAATTTATATCATTTAATCCGTGCATCACATAAATCACTGTCAATCACGGTGAGTTGCGCCGCCCCTGCCTACCTTTTAAATCCGACTCATGATACGTCAACTATTTTTATTAGTAACTCAAAAAGTAAGCGTCAGACAAAATTTTGCCAAATAAAAAATTGTCTTAGAATTTAGTCAAGAATATGTATTTTCAAGGATAACGGGTTGTTCTGAATCATCCTGTATATACAAGTTTGCGCGGGACGCTCTTTTATTATTCCCTCTCTTCGCTTATTGTCCGCGCGTGTCCGAGAGTGTTCAGTTGTCCGATTCCTAGACGTTTAAACAGAATTAAATAAATCTACACAGGACAATAAAAAATTAAATTTTGTGTGTGCGTGTGTGTGTGTGTATTAAAAAAAAGATTACCTGTATTTAAAAAACATAAAAACCAAATTTCGAACACGACGATATAAAAATTTTCGATTGGATTTTTTTTTATTACAAACTTCATTTACGACAATTACAATAAAAACTACGCGTGACGTGTGATTTTTGATTTTATCTAACGGTGTTAACAAATTTCACATTATTGTAATACATGTACTCGAAGCCGACAGTATAGTAAGTTGATGTTTACTCTGTTTATTCTGAAATGCGCGAGGATCTCTTCAGATAATGAACCTTACTTATAGAACGCGGAGCGATAACACAAGCCGGTGTAAGTATACGTACCCTTCCCTTTCGATTCCCCTATCGGTACGAAAGAACGTACGACGCATTGCGCCGGACGGATCATCACCGGCTTTCGCCGCACACGGTGGGAAAGGTGCGCGCGAGAGAACCCGAAGAGTCTTCGTGAGAGCTTGTGACTGACAGCACCGGCTAGTATATACTTGTGGATCCGGTGCCGGCGGTTAGTACTCGCTCCCCCCGGTCAGTAGCACGGATTTCGGAGTGCGCGCACGACAAAAGAAGGAGCGGGCGCGGCGGGTAAGTTTTGCGGTCGATGGACGTGTGTGTATTCGCGGAGGAGCGAGCGATATATTGGTTGCCCCCGCGCATGGTCCGTGTGTGCGAGATCCTCGTCGTTTTCTGGGACTCCGCGAGGATCAGAGCGGAGTCGTTATCCAGAGAGCTCGAGTCAAGCATCCGTGAAGCTAGACCGTGAAACATGGCCGCCTGACCACCTGACGGACCCGCAGGACTGCGTGTGAGGGATCCTCACGGTGCGTGTATTGATCCGCGTAGCCGCCGATCAACCTCCTCGGATTTCTGCTTGGAAAACCTGCACCAGTCCTTCCTTGCGCGAGTATATGTCCTTCGCCGTGAGGGCGACACAGTGACACGCGAATGGACTCTTCAGGACTCTCACACCAGTGTTTTTTAGGTAATACGGGATAATATCGCATATCCTGCGAACGGTGTTCTCCCGGGGATTTCTTCGGGATTTACAAGATTGTTTTATCGCCGAGAGAGATGTGTCATTGAGACACTTGGGAAATAACATAATCTTTTCTTCCGTTCACGCTCGTCGTGAAACTACAGAATGTGATAAGGACATTTTTTTTAATACCAATGTGAATATATTAATATTCATTTACATTTTTTTATCCTGTGTGCGTGTACACCTTCGTAAAAAAAAAAAAAAAAAAATTATTTTGCGCGGAAATTTGTTTTCGCAGATTTTTTATCTACGTCAACAACAATCGCGACTATTTATCTGTTTTAATACCTGATAGCTGGATACGATTGAGTTTTATCCGAGAGAGAGTTTGAAAAATATCTACACAAGTATCTCGATACTATATATATACACATGTTTATTGTCGCAATGTCAATTGCGGGACGTGTGTTTATGTTTGCCAAAGTGTAAGATATAATGTTGGCCCACTCGATTTAGGAAGTGGTAGGCGTTTCTCTTAACGCTTAACTGACAGTCGTAACGGAGAATCCTGGAGAATCCGGAGGTGGTCCGTTACTCTCCTCGAGAGGAAGAAGAGCAAGAGAGCGAAGCGAAGAGACAAGAGGGAATAAGTACAACGATCCTGTTGGTTTCCGCGAGTTTTATCCGGCGTACTTTTGCGAAAGAGCGCGGCCGCGAACCGTTCGTTCAACGACCACCACCGCACAACAACGCATCAAGAAAGCGCCTCCGCGCGCGCGCGCGATTCTCAAAGCGTGAACAGAGAGCGCGAAGAGAAAAAAATTTATTGAAACCTCCCGTTACCGCGCCTCCCCCCCCGTAAGCCTCGTTAAAAATCGCGAACACGCTTTTTTCTACGTGTAGTTATTGGATACAACAAGACAAGAGAGTATCATGACTCTCGAATTAGCGCGAAGCGAAGGTGTTTGGTTTCGCATTAGCAGCATTTGCGTCTGAGTTGCGCTGGCAGTTGTGTGAAGTGTGTGTGCAACGCGAGAATAAATTTTTGAAAAAGATCAATTTTACGGTGATTGATTTTAATGTGCGATTCCCTCCAGCACGGGGAAGCGCGCGTGCATTGAGGAAGCTCGCGAGAAGGAAAAAAAGAGAATCCATGGTATAAGGAAACAAGGTATTGCATCGCGCATTCACGATCAATCAGAAATTGATTTCAAACCCAACGCGAAGTTTAAATACGATATTTTTATATATTTAATATTTGTCGCGATTATATTTTAAACAAAACTTAATTCAAAGTCTAATAATTTAAACAAATAATTTAAACTAATAATTTAAACAAATAATTTAAACTAATAATTTAAACAAATATACAAAATATGTGTAAATAATCAAAGTATTATTTTTTTTAAAGATATTTATTTTATTATTAGTATTATTATTTAGTATTTAGTTTACATATATTGTGTAGATTTATTTATTACGTGATTAATATAATATTATATGTTGCAATTATTATTAAACGTTGTTTATACTAATATAAAATAATTAACGTATATGTAACATTTATGAATACAATTACATAACAGTTTCAACATTTATAAACAATGTGTATTCTAAAATACAATTTAAGTTTTATTTAATATTTTATGAAATTTTCAATTTTTCTGTCTTTTTTTATTTTATTTTAATATAATGTCTTTATACTATTTCAATATAAGTTTGCTTTACTGTACGAGTATAAGAATAAAGTTTATTTGTAATATATAATATTTACTTTTCTATATTTTGATGGATGGATTTGACTTTTGCAATTTTGAATACAGCAAGTAGAGCATCTGTAAAATGTAGCGTCCGATTGGCTACGCTACCGCACATCCACGGGAATACATCAACTTGTTTCCTTACACCATGAGGAGAATATTGAGGTCGATGTTGAGGCAAGTGAAGAGGAACGGTGCGCGAAAGGTGTCGATCGAGATTTTATAGATCTTTTTATCGCGCGATAGAAGAGGTGGAGAATTGCTCTCGTCGACTTCTTCGATGCCGCAGAATAGCTTCGGCTCATCGATAGGAAAGTACGAAGAGATCAGTCTTCGTAGGAAACAAATTCCCGCTGAGGGATCGATACCGGAACTACGCTGTAATCGGCAGCAATTACGATAAGGGCGGCGATTGCGATAAAAGTATAATATCGAAGTGCACAATTTAGCGAATTAGAACGAGCATCAACGGGCGACCTCATCGCGCGCTTAATTAACGGACCGGTCGCGCCAACCAACCGATTAGAGGATAGCGGCAACCGGAAGTGAGTGCCAGAAAATCGATCAGAAGAGAATTGATTGATTAGAATTTCGGAATCGACCGGATGGGAGTACCGTCGTCGAGTGTGATAATTGCTTTTCGGAGACCGCGCCTTCTGACAGAAAACGCAAGATGGAACGCGGCAGATACATAGCCAGAGAGATGCGTCACTCGAGAAGCGAGGATTTGCTGGGCACGTTTTCCAGATCGCCCAGTCCGTGCGTCGATTTGCCGACCACGGCGTCCGAAGACGACCTGATAGCGGCAAGCGGTCTTCGAGATTCGAGCGCGTACAATCAGGCTGTCGGCGTTGCCGGAGCATCGCGACGCAGCATCCTCGCGACGCCATCCAGAACCGTGGTGGTTCCCGTCGATCCGGAGGATTCCATTCGCGACATCGTCACCGAGAACGATCTCTACAGGTTAGTACCTGGTGGTAATTTTCTCCGACTAACATTGGTTAGCAACCTAAAATATCTCTTCTCATGAGTAAGTTTGTACTGCTGTAACAAAGTTAAGTTGGAGCTATTCAGCACTGCTAAGACCCGCTTCTACTCCGCGCAGAAGTTCAAAAATAACTGCAGTACACAGCGCACATAAATCCAGCAAAACAAAAAAAAACCAAAAAAAAAGCTACAGTTTGAAAAAAAGGATTGCTTGCCATATTATTCAAAATCGTATTTTAATTAGGACACTCTCCACTACCACATACTTGTTTTTTTTTTAAAAATCCTAAGAAAATTGTCGTCAGTAATTTAAAAAAAACCCCACTTCACAAAGGCTCAGCATAGGACATCCATGTTAAAAATTGAAATAATAAATCTTCCATATTTTGGAATTTAACATTGCTACCCCTATTATCCAAAAAGGCTAGGTATAAATAAGATCATAAACTATGTATGTCGCAAATTTAAAGAAAATCCTAAGAAAATCAATAATTCGGAGAACGTTCTTAAGTTAATTGCAAATATCCGAAAAAAATTATTCTAAAATAAAAATAAGAAAGAGAGAGGAGAGAGAAAGAAAGATAACAATTTCTGCGTGACATGCGTTTTGCTCTCTCGATAGCAACGAAAATAACACACACACACAATAGGGGACCAATCAGAATAACATTCAGTCTCTAATAACATTCTATCCCGTTGAGCAATCACGACTCGTGGAAGCCGCTCCTGATCGTTTAACAAACACAATGCTTGTTTCCGTTTCTTGATTACGTAGGTGAATAAATGATGATGATCTCCTTGTGAGAGAGATCCCAAGGTCTACCTTCCTTCGCGTCGCGAGACTGAATAAATTAGAAAAATTATCGTGACAAAAAAATATCCCATTACAAAACTTACGCTAAGTTCAATAACAACACTCTTCTCGCGTTACGAGATTTAGGTGTGTGTTTTTAAAAATTGTCGTCAAAAACGAAATAAACGAAGGGGTCTCTCTTTGTTCTAAAAGCATAATCCAGAGAAAGGAAATTGTGTTCACAAATGACGTGTAGTGTGAAGGGAGAGAGAAGGAGGGGGGGTAAGGTATAATCGATAAAGCATATATTGTGTATCTCTGTTAAATTTATCGTCGCGCAGTATTGCGTGATATTATTCACCGCGTCGACTAATTACTTTCACACTTTATATATATACCTTCGTTTCTTTAATATTAATATTTTCATTCACGCATCGCAACGCGCTCGCATTCACAGCTTTCATAATTACTAGGAAGTTCGCAATTACACACCGCCCGTTTCATTCGAAAAGGATTGCCGTTGCGAATGTTTTCGCGGAGAAAATTTCTAATTCTAATTCCGGTTATTATTATTCCTCCTCGCTGTGCGCGAACCATTCATAAAAAAAAAAAAAAAAAAAAGAGTAAATACTTAATTTTTGCGATTATAGAGAGATACGCGATTAAACACTGCACTAAAACAGCTCGAATTTCTTACGTAAATCTTTTTACGACACTCTCGCTGCCTCACACGTGCGTTGTATAAATATTTTCTTAGACTTAACCCTCTATGGGCCCATGTAACTTTCAAGTCACAAGCTAATATATCCACATTTTACCAAATAGTTTTAGTTTTTTTCACAAGATGATGTATACGTTTTAATTATATAATGCCTCCTGAAATAACCAATAACAATATTGATGACGGTTGGCAGCACCATCAACCTGAAATGTCAAAATAAATACCTTGCAAGTTGTCTGCAGATACAGAAAATTCGGCCCATAGAGGGTTAACGTATTTTCCGCATAAATAGGGTAAAAGACCCAATTACTGTCACCTGAATAATAAACTCTGGCGTTAGCGAATTGTTTTTACTACTTATTTATCAAAAACATGTGTTTTTCTTTTTATCTGGTATTATTCGACGTCTCTAATATAAGAAACAAAATAATACCGCCTCTCAAAATCTCTATTTTTATTTATAAATTTAATAATTGAAAAAGAACGATATGGGAGAGCTATTACTGTCACCCCCTAAAATGAAAGAAATGAGACGCGAATGTTGAGTGCTGGATTTTTTTTGTTATATTAATTGCACTTAAAATTCTATGTTAGATTGTTTTCATGCATAACTTTTTAGGATTTATTGAATATTTTAAATAAAATAGCTTAGGGTGACAGTAATTGGACAGATGACAGTAATTGGACAGGTGACAGTAATTGGGTCTTTTACCCTACGCGCGACAAACACATATAACGTGCAATATATAAAATAAAAAATGCGTCAACACACAATTTCGAAAAGCATTTAAATTTCTGGCGCGTGATATAATCTTAGTTTAGCACGTTTCGGTACGGTAAAAGACCCAATTACTGTCACCTGAATAATAAACTCTGACGTTAGTGAATTGTTTTTACTACTTATTTATCAAAAACATGTGTTTTTCTTCTTATCTGGTATTATTCGACGTCTCCAATATAAGAAACAAAATAATACCGCCTCTCAAAATCTCTATTTTTATTTATAAATTTAATAATTGAAAAAGAACGATATGCGAGAGCTATTACTGTCACCCCCTAAAATGAAAGAAATGAGACGCGAATGTTGAGTGCTGGATTTTTTTTTTGTTATATTAATTGCACTTAAAATTCTATGTTAGATTGTTTTCACGCATAACTTTTTAGGATTTATTTAATATTTTAAATAAAATAGCTTAGGGTGGACGGTAATTGGACAGGTGACAGTAATTGGGTCTTTTACCTTATCTGTACATAAAAAAAAAAAAAAAACAAGAACGCACGCGGGTACCGTGAACATAATAAGTCCAGCGAGAGATTATGTCATCGGCTATTGATTACGTTCGCGTAACGATAGCCTTGATGCGAGGCCTCGTGTTTCCGGGTCAGATGACTTTCGCAAGATCCTCGAGGGGCCCCCGGAGTGTCGAGAGTTGGAACGGGGGAGTCATTTCGGAGTCACTCGCTCGCCGGCTGTCGGAAGAAACGCGCGAAACGGCCGGAATTTTGCTCGCGGAACGGTATATCACTTGTGCGCGAATCAGTCCGAATCGGTCGGACAATCGCGTCGAATGTCGAGCGCGTGAAAGCGAAAGCGTTCGCTCTCCAGGATCAGAGGAGGCGCACCTCGACGTCATTGAGCGAGCGAGAAAAGAAGGAAGCGCTTCTCTCGCTTCTTTCGGCAGCGCAGGTGAAATCGATTTCGTGTGTTGCAACGTGCGAGGTGAGACGCCGTGAGAGATCCTCCGCGGAGTGTGGGTTCCTCCGAGAAGTTTCGAATCGGGACGAACAGTACCGCCCGCACATCCGGTTTCGTTTCTCTACACAACATTACCGGCGGCACAATGGCTCGGAATGAACCGCGAATCCATCGCGGACGGTCGCCTTCTGATGCGATCTGCAACAACGACGATATAACGCGCCGCAACGAGAGACGCGTATCCGCGTACGTGTTGAAACGTATATATTCAACAACATTTGGAGAATAAATTAGATTATATTCTTTTTCCAATCTAATTTTGATCTTTCTTTCGTGTGAAATTAACACGACATTTTTCACAACCAATTTGTTCTTGTTTTTCTGTTTGCCGCAGATACGTATTGTTCAAACGGCATTACGACAAGTATGTGGATCTCGCCGAGAAGTACAAAGAGGCCAAGAGCGTCGCTTATTATCTGGAGGAACGTTATCACGAGATCAAGGTGGGTTAATAATCAAATGATCGTGATTTAATTTAACGTGAAACACGTGTGCGTGTGCGAATTCAACAACAAATTAAATTTCTCGCAATCGTAAATGTAACTTTTTTTTTTTTTTTACAGAACCTACGTTGTTCAAAGCAAAATTTCATTTCTTTTCTACTTTTTCTACTTTCATCACCAATTGCATTGTAACGGATTGTATTTACGATACCCTCCTCTCTCTCCTCCCATCGTGATTTTATACATGTTGAATCTTTTTATAGCGTACAATAAAAGAAAATTGCATCGCGCTTTCCCACGCTGATTCGCGATAGCTTGCGCCTATTGTTCAAAGCCGCGATTCGATAACGCATCTACTCCCACGGTACATTTTGTCGCGCTATTGTTTGAAATAATTTTACAATTTTCAAGACACTCTGCGTATTGTTGTTATCACTCTTTTATTTGGGCCGCATTTTTAATTCTCGCGCGTACGAAATTTATTAATTTGATTGTCAAGGTTGTTCAAAAATGTTTCTTTAAAAAAAAACACAAACTAGGGTAAAAGACCCAATTACCGTCACCTGAATAATAAACTCTGGCGTTAGTGAATTGTTTTTATTACTTATTTATCAAAAACATGTGTTTTTCTTCTTATCTGGTTATTATTCAACGTCTCTAATATGAGAAACGAAATAATAACGCCTCTCAAAGTCTCTATTTTTATTTGTAAATTTAATAATTGAAAAAGAACGATATGCGAGAGCTATCACTGTCACCCCCTAAGATGAAAGAAATGAGACGCGAATGTTGAGTGCTGGAGATTTTTTGTTATGTTAATTGCACTTAAAATTCTATGTTAGATTGTTTTCATGCGTAACTTTTTAGGATTTTCAGGATCCAGTGAGGCTGATGATGATCTAAAAAAATAAAGATCGAAACGTTCCTCTGATCTCCGTATTGGATTCAATTAGATTTTATTTAAGCCACTTCAACCTTGGTTTCTTAGCTAGGAAGGTCTATTTTACCATTTTTAGGATTTATTTAATATTTTAAATAAAATAACTTAGGGTAACAGTAATTGGGTATTTTACCCTAATTTGCCGATTGCAATAATCTCCGATATATAAATTATTTAATCTTCGAAGTTGAAGAAATCCATTGCAAAAGTCATCTCAACTCTGAGAGTCAAACGCGGAAAGTCCGAATTAAAATTTGTCGTCTCAAAAAAAAAAAAAAAAAAAACGTATCTTCTCGCAATGATCTGTCGGATATGTAATCGCTCGGATTGTTTTTTTTCTCTCTGGTATATGTTAAATTTCACTCTTCCTTCATTCAGTCATTCACCGAAACTGATGTGTGTCTTCATGCTCTAGGACGCTCCGCGTGCGCTACACTCGTTTCTCGCGATGAAAAGTAAACGTCCGCCCGCGGTGATAGCATCTCATTTATCGCGTTGCGAAATATAATTGACTCGGAAGTTGCACAGGTATACATTATATATACATATATATATGCATATTTCTCCTTCTCGATTTACCGCCGAGGTTTTCTTTCGCTCGACTCCTTCGTTCGTTTAATTAATTATATACATGGATTTCGTTACGAGAAGAAATATATACGCGCGTATAAAATAGCGTATGTCGTAAGCGAATATTCGCAGCGTCATTAATCAGCGTCATCAGACGGAGACATCTGCGGTTAATCAGAAATGAAAATCTTTCTTTCATAACACAACCGCTGTGCGCGCACACTGTGAAACTCCGAAGTTCGCTTTTTTATTTTTTTCTATCGATGAGCAACTTCAAGATCATTCCGATCGCGAAGTAAAAGCCACCGCGCGCTTTCCATCTCTCGCGTCAGTAAAGAAAAAAAAAAAAAAATCAAGAATCGCGAGACAACATAGAACGGCCAGCAACCGATGAAGCCGAACAAGTGTTTCGAACGTTCTCCGTTCTTTGTTCTCTTCGCGTTCTCTGAAACGCGGAAGACCAATCGCGCGTCGCACAGGCACACACAAACACAACGCGTCGTCAGCGATAGTCATCAGAGATATAAGTCCTTCCGCGATCTCGTTAGTCTCGCCGTTACGATGATGCTATCTCGCCGACTGATTGTGAGTCAGTCTGACGCAGTGAAATCGAGTCTCCTTTCTTGTAACATCGCGCGCGCGCGCGCGCGAGCCGTTTTGTGAAATCGAAAGAAAACCACCTGCGAACAGAAGAATCGAGAGATCGGCAAACCTCAAATCGACCAAGAAATCTGTTATTTCCTTTTAACGAACATAAACATCTTCGTTTATTTCTGTAATAAATAAGTACATGATCGAGTAACATACACGTCTTTCCGAATTGCGTCGCACGTGCGGGGGCAACGGAATGCCAGATGGTAGTATTTTTTTTTTCTTTTTTTTTAGAAAGACGAAACATTTCACGCGCGCGTGAGAGCCCAAGAAGTCGGCGTCTTTGTTTTTTTTTTCGCTTTTTTTTTTTTTTTGCTCTCCTTGGCCTTGTCGCTCGATAATCGCTGACTTGTAAGTCTGCTTTGCCGCGCCCCGTATATAACTCTCTCTCTCTTTCTATATATATATATATATATGTATATATGTACTCTCTTTCGAGACGCTATTCCCAATCAGATTATGTCGGTTTTCTGTTTGAAAACCGCCGTGGTTTCTCGAGGATTTGCGCAATAACGGCAATTAGAATTTTAAAACCTTGGAAATCGGGCAAACAGAAGAATCGACGCGAATGTTCCGGGCGCGAAAGGATCTTACGTGCCCGGACAACCATAAATCTGTCGAAAGACAGATTTTGCCCAAACGCTTGTTACAAATTTTATTAGCAGAAAAGACATCAAATATATGATGCGGAGTTTGTTTTGTCTGGCAATGTTGCAAAATTGCTAACAAAAATATATTCAAGCTTGTTGACAAAATATAACAGCAACTTGCTAGCAAGAACCAAGCAAAACCGTGTCGTGTTGCGCAGATCTTGCTTCGTATTTGGCGTCGATTCGGTTCAAAATATGTTTCAATATGTATCAAGCTTTGTGCTCGGTTTCTGCTAGCAATTTGCTGGTACTTTTTTTGTCGACAAGCTTTGGCGACAAAATCGAAGCCTAATGCGGACACAGTTGATGCCAATTTGCTGAGTATTTTTGCTTAAAATTGCTGACAATTTGCCGGCAAATTGCGAACAAATTGTTTACTATGATGTGATTACTGCTTCGCAGCAGTAGAGCCTGATCGTCGCGCGACGCGATCGAATGACTTTACTTTACTATTTGCATCTTTTTGTTTCGCAAAAATAAATTTCTTGCCTCCGTATGCGACGCGTTGTGATTTATACGATTCCTGTCGAGGAGGCGCGTTGCATTCCGCGACACCGCGACGAGAATTTATATTACGTCTCGTAACGGTCAAATCATTCGAAGTATGCTAATATTCCCGGAGATGTTCGCCGGCCGTAACAACACCAGATAAAAAAAAAAAAAAAAAAGAACACGCGCGGCCAGGATATGCTATTCTCGTTACTCTACTTTTCCTGCGGCACGCGGTATAATGTATATCCGTCTGCGGGTCTGTTCGTCCTCCGTCTCTCTCGTGTAATTCCTCCTCCGTTGCAACGCCTACTTGTCGCCCGGATTTTTTTTTCAGATCTCGAACTGGAGTTGACGGACGCGCGCTTTCGAGGACGCAGATTTTTTTCCTCCTCCGCCCACACGGATTCGCATCCTCAAAACGGACGCGAATCTCCGTCTTGTGATTTCGTATTTCATCGACTATATATATATATATATACGCGTGTTTCGATAGATAGAAATTTAATCTATATCACGTGTGTATGTGTAAAATAATAATATTTGCTACATTACTTTTATCACATTGTCTTATGATAATTTTAAATATGACTTCACACGTAAACATCGTTGTAGTATGAAGGAATGAGACAGAGTTAGGTACGTTTTTTTATATATGTTTTTATATTTTTAATTTATTTGCTTATCTGTTGTATAAAATTTAAACGCAAAGAAAATGTATTTACTATATTATACGCATACACATTGTAACAGTTGCACTGAAGATGGTTTAAGGTATTACTCTTGATTGTTTTCTAATTTTCAGTTTTACTTTAAACTTTTACACAATGTTTAAAAACTTGATCTGTGAACCCCTGAATTTTTTCAGATTTTTTTACCGTACAGTTTTTGAGAAAATCGAAAACGAATTTCGCATGATTTAACGTGGAAGTGATAGGGAGAATGAGGAAATCACGTGGATTTACCTAAATATCTAGAGTTCAAATTTTCAGATTTGGCTAAAAATATTACTACAGCTTCTTTAGACTATAAAGAAAATATGTGTGAAAAATCAGACGCCTGTACCGTACAGTTTTTCAGTAATATAATTAAAATAACACAGAAAACGAGCGATTTTATGATTGGTATGAGAAAGAGCGACGTTGCCATTTCCTCAATTGGAGTGAGATAGAACTATCTCCGCTCCCTCGCGCCCGCGGGGACGTGAGGGTAATACCTTAAATAAAAACCGAAACGTCTGTGGATATCATTGAATAATTTTTTACGGCACAACGTCCCCTGCTCATATTGGTTCCAACAACCCTAAACAAGCGATACAATTTTTGGCATAACCAGCAGGAACCCGAGGAATCACCTCGCTATCAAATTAATAATAATATTTATAAATTAGTAATAAACAAAACGAAGATTCTTTTCGACGGTTCTGGAGTCTTTTATAAATATATTATTTCGACATGTGTGTGTGTGTGTGTGTGTGT